ACACTAAGATTGTTTGGCCTTGAGAAAGTGAAAGAAACAAGTTGAATGAAGATATGACTTAGTGGTATAAACAAAATTCAGTTAAGGCATTCACAAATAAACAATAACACTTGAAGGCCGCCACACCCGGCTGTCAAGTGGCTTCTTTATTGGACTGTGATTTATGTAGATACTCTCCGCATTATCGATTACTTTAGTCAGTTAGCTTTCAGCCCGTTTGCGTTTTCAGACTCTGTTTGATATCACAGATCTCACAAGGTAGCGCAACACACAAAAACGCAACAAACTTTCTTAAAAAAGGAGAGAATTACAACTTAAATCTCATCTGGGGGGTATCGCGGAGACAACGCGCTGTATTTCAGCAGCACTTATGGATCGAGTTCGTTTGCCTGGGCACACGTGTTGAGTCACAGTGGGGGTTGGAATTCCTTGCACGGGGGCTAAGACATTCTCCAGAGGTGAGGAGTAACCTCGCGCGGATTTGGTGCTTCTCATGCCGCAACACATCAGCAGAATGTGCTTCGCTTCCGCCCTGAACAGTTTTCCCACGAGGCAGTAGAAAATCCAGTTTGTACACGAATTGAGAAAGCACAGACTGCGACACATGTAGTAGAAAAATCGATGAACATCTGGGTCTACGTCGACGCCACTGAAGTTGCGGTACATCAAGTATATCAATAGGGGGAATGTGCTGGTCATGTAGGCGACGTTCATGCACACGAGCAGTCTCGTAACATGTCCGAAATTGTCCTGTGCGTTGTGCCGGCTGCTGCTCTGTTCTGTGAGCTGGCGTTGCAACTTAGCATGAGTTAATTCAACCCGCGTATTCGCCAGATTTGTTGCATCTAGATGAGTCATCGTGCGAGTTGATAGGGTGTGGATATCGGGATTTGATTTTGAGCTGGAGATGGGTAAAGCAGAAATGGACAGTCCTCGTCGCTTCTCAACACCTGTACTATCCGAACCCGTGATTGTGGAGTGCTTTCGTGTCCACTTTTGTGGGTAAGCAGTGCTTTTGTTGAATTTTTTCCCCACTCTAGCCATGTTCAGACAAATCACGACGGTGGCAACGGTCATCCCGAGCAGAGGAACAATGCCCCACACGATGAGATCCGTGACCGTGGTTAGGTAGAAGATGGCTCTGTCTGTTGGATCACAGTCGCCATCGATCACTCGCCAGTAAATCATATACGGCATCACAGGAGTGATGAGGAGAAGGGAGATTATGATCCAAGTGATCGCGTGTCTCTTCGAAACTCCTCCTTGAACCCTCGCGTGAAGCGGTTTAAACACGAGGTAGGCACGTTCCACGGACAACGCGCACTGCATGTACGCAGACCAATAGATGGCGTAGTTTGACGCGGCTTTATGAAGCACACAGATGACATCGTTTTGGTCACGGATGTCGTACTTGAACCAGACCTTCAGCAGTATCCACAGGCCTTCGAGCATCAGGATGAGGAAGTCACCAATGCAGATACTAGACAGCCAGATAAGCATGTTCGACTTGAAGAGCTTGGAGCAGAAGAGAAAGAAAAGGCTAAAGAGTGTGCCCATGGCTCCAACAATGATTGTGGTGGGTAAATACCAGCCCAGGAAGTAGACGCACAGATTTTCGTAGAGGTAGGCATAGGGTCGAGGATTGTCGGGGTTCTGGTGTGCTGTGTCGCTTAAATTCATGTCGGAATTGTCATGTTAATCCAATACTTTGTAGTGACACTTTGCTCTCAATCACACCGATTTGACCGTACCAGCCATTTAGCATCTGTTATGATCACGTCTGCTGCTATTGGTCGAAGCTGTAGCGAATCAGTGAGCGCGAAATGCAAATTTCGCCCAATCAAGTTTGAAGAAACGAAACAGCGCTCAATTTATATCCGTGCTGCTAAATAACTACAGGACTTCTCTACTCTCACAAAAAAGGCAGGCTGTACAATCAAGATGGTCATTTAGATCTGTGGCGGACACAGTTACATAAAAAAAATTTGAAAGAAAATGCAAGTAAATTGGACGAAAAATGTCCTTTGTTAAGTTATGGATTCTACATGCTTTGAAAGTCGACTTGAAGCAGCCTAATACCATTAAGTAGACAATTACAGAGACCTTATAGGTGTAATTTCAATCATACTGGGATGAACAATTTCTCATCTTTAGTGTCAAGCAGTTTAATGACATGACGACTTAATTTGAAGCGAATTCAGCCTTACACGTCTGTGTCTACAACTGACTTCATAATTTCCCTTACGCGTCTTACTAGAGTCCTATCCGCTTTTTGCCTAGTAAGACATGAATATGACAGCTTTGACATACAAAACAGGCTTTCAACTTTCTTGGATTTCGGCACGATTGTATTTGCTTAATCAACTAAAAATGAACTAATGTATCCCAGTAAATGTATCTTTGTTTTCTACAACATAGTCAATCTAGTTTATTATAGGTTTTTTGACGTTCTTTGCTGTCACTGGTAGAAATTCAGGCAGTGTTTTTTTGTTTAACTGCACAAAATCACTTAAAAGAGACAGATGCAAATGAGCAAGGATCTTGTGCAAGCTGCACGTTCTGGGTTTGAATTTTGAAAAGGCTGCAACCTTTTAGCAACCATTTTCTGTTTTCGCTTGGGACAAAAAGAATTTTTTGGCGTTTTTCGTGCGCATAAGTTGCTGTTTGCAGAAAAACTCTAGTTGTTAGGAGAAAAGACCATTTGTTTTAACAAAGAGCTTCATGTGTTGTGTGTGAGGGAAGGGAGTCGTGTGTCCAGCAAGAACCTCGTCATTGATCCACACGATTATTCATTATCCTAAGCACCCACAAAGGTGTTTCCCGCGCTAGAATTAAAAGAAATTAATGCAGTCTGCGGTCATGAACAAACCACAGGAATCCCATGTCTACTTTTGCGTGAATTCTAGACAAAAACTGGAGATTGGAGACAGGAGTGAATCAGCGAAACTGCAGCTCTCATCTGCCACGACCGATAAATTTGCAGAAAGAGTAGACAGTGCCAAAGTTTCAGTCCACGCAAGCCTGTAGATGATATATTTCGGCTTTTAAAAATTACAAGGAAAAACTACTTATTGGGTCTGAACTCGTCTTGAGCACTTGACGAATTTGAGAACTGCAATTCAGCCCAACCCTCCTTAATCACGTGGTTTTAATTTTATGTCTCCCAGTTAGACATTTCCAGGTCAAAAGTCCCGTCAGGCAGCAACTACGCAGTTTCTTATGCGATAAAAAAGCATCTAAACGCTGGTTTTGTATCGAAATCCACTGCGATTTGCAAACCCCCATTAAGATTGGAAAAAGCAAACGTTCCTGCGCAGATTCTTTAAAAACTCGTAAAATTTGTTTTTGATTAAAAAGGGCGTAGAGGCGGGTGTTGTGCCAAAATAACACCACGCATTTGCATGAGGAACGCAATTTGCATGAGGCAACACCTACAACAAATCCACGTGGGCGATATTAACCTCCCCGTTGTTTTCACGATCATAATGGCGCTTGTTTCTATCACTGATGTTTTGGCGCTTGACAAATGAACCAATCAAATCAAGGGGAAAATAATTGCTGTACTTCAGCGCATTCACACGCTACTACGGTGATTTACCGAGTCCAAACAATTTGCATTACACCTCCTCACACCCTGAAAGGCTTGTTTAAAGCCACGCCTTTTTAATGGTGAGGGTACGAGGTGTTGCAAAACAATTTTTGTTGATGCATTTTCGGAGTTGATCGAAATTGCGGCCTGCCTACCTAACTCGAGCAGAATCCCCAGGTGGCTGTTTTATCTACCTTGTGAGATCAAAAATGCCTGCGCTTCACTCTACCGCGGTTACTAATGCCTAATCTCAAGGGGCACGCCTCGACACACGAATTCGGCTCATTTTTAAATGTAGCGATTAAGCTGTGCGGCTCGATGTTTCTGCCACGACAAGTGCAATTTTAAAACTTTTTAAGCTAATTAGTTCTTACTGACACATTATGAAGTTTACATTCTGTGTGATTGCTGTAAGAAAGCTATTGCCATGGAAACCAGTCCAGCGTTTGAATCTTGCATGTGATCCAAATAGCCTTTGGTTAGATAAGTTGAAATTGAGCTCAGATGAGGACGGGAAAGACTCCATCTGTGAAGGTTAAAAGGCAAAAATTTTTGGCAAAATCCACTGATTTTCTTAATCAATTCCACCATTTTTGGCAGACTCTCGCTGTCCTAAGTCAGTACTCGATTTCTTGAAATGAAAAAGGGGGAAATTATTTTGCTCAGTAAAAAAAATTCGACAATTCACAAACAGTGTTTTTTTTTCGGGAAAAGCCTATCCCGCATCGCACTGTCACATGCAAATTTAGTGTTACCTCGCCCAGCTTTTGCACGCTTTTTTTAGCAAATGGTCTACTTCCGGAAGACGTATCCTTCCTCAATTCCGCAGCCAAACACTTTTGACTTGTAAAATGTCTCCTTTTTATTTTGTGACGTAAACGCCACAAAAATCTGCCATTTTCATCTGGGAAAATTGCGAAAACTGCAGGTGTATCAGGGGACGCTGTACACTTCAGACATCCGTGTTAGGCACGAATTTCATATGTGATTTGCTAAAATGAAAGTAATTTGTTTGAACTGGGGAAAATCATTAGATTTTTTCTCAATCACACACCACAGTTTTGCAAAAAATTGTTTCCAATTTCTTTAGAGCCTCTCGTCTTCACCTCACTGCTGTGAAAACGTAGAGTGACCTGTTACCTACGCCTTGCTTTTCCACGCGTTTTTAGTTAATGGCCTACATTCGGAAGTCTTTATTGTTAATGGGCCATTACTCTTAGACTGGTACACAAATCAACCGCGTTCCATCATTCGTGACCGCTATCTCCCAACGATTTATTGCCTTCCACTGGAAAAACAGTCAACAGATGCTTCTTGTGCTTCATTTGAGGCTGTCGGTGGTGAAGCTGGAGATTGTTGAGTTGCAGGCAGAGCCGTTAGCCGCATCGCAAATGACTTGCCACACCATAAAATCGTGACTGGTGCAGTCAGCAGAAGCACTGCTAGATGGCTTGCGAGGGTGACTTGAGACATGGACGATAACGGCCGGACGTCCAACTGGGTGAATCGTGGCGTTCGTGGCGTCAGCCCTGTCTGGCCATCGAATACACACATTCGACTTTGGCGTCGCAGTGATTGAGGTCGGTGGTAGGCGGTTGACGATGCAACTGCGCGTCAACTAACACGGTCATTTCTGTATGCAAATGGCGAGGGTGGAGCTGCCACACCTTCTGGCACCACGGAAGCAGGTGGGCTGCGAAGACAGACCCACAGTAACCTTGGATGGCCAATGAACTCAGAGCTAGGATGGTGTGAACAGTTTGTGGGTAATTTGTCACCGCAACAGTGAATTGTTTTAAGCTCCCTAGAGTCTGTTTTGCTCTGCAGCATCCATCATCAACTGTTTGCCTAATCTGTTCAAGGGCTGGTTTGTTTAAACATTTCTTGTAGTATCGCGCCACTTTTGTGGGACCTTGGGTTTATGCAAATGGACTGACAGGCGCTTAAAATTGTGTGATAGTGCCAAAATGACCTTTTCCAAATACTGCGTTCAGTACAGGCCACATTGTAAACTCAGTAGACCCCATGGACGTCTTCTGTGAGGTGCTCAACTTGATGCTGCATCTAGCAAATGTTGGGCGATTACAGTGTCTTGACGAAACCAGCCAATCAACATTGACTTTGCGCTACGTCAGTAGAATATTGTTCGGCTCCTGCCTTTCGCATTAAGTTGAAACATCTCTCTATCATGAAGTGATAAACCACCTCAGTATCCATCGATTTCAAACGGTACTGGTTTAAAACGCCAAGGAGATGCGTCTGCAAACTCTCCAAATAATGTAGCAGGTTCGGTACAATTTATGGCTGAATTTAAAATTGTTGCTTGTTTGCCTTCACCATTCATCAAATAATATTGCTTTAAGTCCATTTATTTACTAAAAATACACTTTTCTTAAACCCCATAATCAGCTGGTCTGCCAACTATGCATATTTTCCAAATACCAAATCGGTAAACAAATAGCCTTCAGTTAAGCCCACCAACAATTCGTAAGTGCATCGAAACATCATGATTGTTTATAAATGAGTTTGTAGTAGCTTATCGTTTAAGCACTACCTTACAACCCTCTAGTTAACAA